TGGCCCCATGGCTCCAGGAGGTGAGTTTGGGCTGAGCTGCCCCACCGTGAGCACACGGGTCCTGCACACCCCCCTCTGCCTTTCCCCTAACCAGAGGGCTCAGCCCTGTGAGAGCACATGTAACCCTGTGCTGTACATTGGGGTTGTGCTGCTGCCGGAGGTGGGCTGCAAAGTTGGATTATCCCTGGGGGGAACCAACACCAGGGGAATAAACCTCCAGGTGCTCCCCCAGGAGCTGGGAGAGAGATGGTATTTGGGACCAGAGGAACAGGTTAGTCATCAGGGATGGCTGAGGAGGGCTCTGATCTCTGCCTGTCCCCTCTCAGGTGGGATGCAGCCACAGGTTGGGATGCCAGGTGCAGGGCCAGTCCCCTTGGAGCGTGGACAAGGTAAAACAGACGTGTGGAGTGCCGTGTGTGGTGTGAGCCTGGCTCCAGTGAGCAGTGCTGTGTCCCAGCTGTCTGCAGCCTGGCTGTGCCCAGCCCTGGGGCTGTGCCCAGGTTTATTCACTGAGGCACAAGGCTGTGGTAGCAGCTCCCTGGCTCCCAGGGCTCGCTCAGCCCACGCCCAGTTGGCTCCCAGCTCGTTCTGCACGCTGTCGTGCGCTCGTGCCCTGGCAGCCAGGAGAGCTGCCTGTCCCCACCGAGCGGGATGTGTCTGTGTTTTCCACCTCTGCGAGCCCGTGTCTGTCCCTGTGCTTGTGCGGGCAGGCAGAGCTTGCTCCTCTCTGGTCCTTGTCCTGCTCCTTCGCTGCCTGGGCGCTGGGGAGCAGCCGCTGCGGCGCCGCGTCCTCCCGCGCCGTGCCCAGCAGAGGGAGCTGGCTCTCCGTTTGGCTTGAGGCTTGGCAGGCGCTTCCCGGAGGGGGACGGCTCGGCTTTCCCTCCGCAGGCACGGTCTGTCCGGCCCAGCCCCGGGCCCCGATTGCTTACGGTTCACACGTGTCCACGTGTAGGTCAGTACGGCCCCGGTGTGCTGTTCTCCAGGAACAGCACGTGCACACGCCCGTCACCTCTGCTGCCTTGACATTCATCATAGGCCTTGTTTCAGCAACATGCAAACCCAGTCTGAGATCCTTTGGCCTTAGGGTCAGCTGACTCTCATTTTCTTTGGGGTGGGCACTGTCTTCCTGAAAGCTGTCTGATAGTTCTTGGCACCCGAAAGGATTTGGAGAGCAGAAGCTGGTGTGTGTTGTGGGGCCAGCATGGCCCCACGCAATGCTGAGTCTCTTGGCAGGGTGTCTTCTGTGCCTGCCTCTCTCCTGAGTGAGGGAAGGACTGTGCCACGCTGCCTGTGCTGCCTGTGCTGACAGAGGGGGTGTGAACGGAACAGGCTGATTAAGCCAGACTTGGAACATTTTCTCTGTAGGTTTTCTGGGGACTTCAGGGTGCGTGATCCTGCAGGCAGCACTGTCCCCAGAGCCGGTGCACGCGTGCATACGCTATTTACGTGTCTGCTCTTTCCCTCTTTTCCTGCTGCTTGCCCAGGGAACCTGCAGCTCTCGCCCGTGGGACCTGCCAGGCCTGCGTCTATCGAACGCGTTCAAGGTACCCCGGCACCAGCTCCCTCTTCCCATGGAGCTCCTTGTGGAGTGTGCAGAGAGCAGCTCTCACCCTGCTCTTCTCAGGGCCAGGGACTGGCATGTCACTCCTTGTAGCCTGACAGCAGTAAGAGGAGAGGAAGGAGGCAGGATTTCTTCCAGGGCTACAGGAGAGAACAGGCTAGAACCATGCATGGAGCCTCCAGTGGGAAAGGAGAGCTTGTTTAGAAAGAGCTTTTGCCTAAGATCCGGCCCTCTTTGACACTGTGCTTCCAGGAGCCTTCCAGGTCTTGCTTTGCTCCTGGCCCCACGTCAGCAGGGTGTCGATGCCCACACTTGTAGGGATTGCCATGGGGGCACCCATGCTTGGTTTGGCCCCTGGTGCCATAAGGAACCTCAAATAAAACCCGAGAAGAAAAGGAGAGGAATAGAATTGGCAGCCAGGGAAGGAGCTTTGGTGGCTCCAGCCTCGTGTGTGGGGCTGTGTCCCCAGCAGACAGCACAGCTCAGGGGAGCAGCGTGGCTGCCCCACGCCCGGCCTGAGAGCGCCGGGGACAGTCTTGGCACGGCGCTGCTCATGCAGATCCTCACGAGTTCTTGTGTGTCTCCCTGGCAGTGCCCATGCCAGACCCGAGGGCCCCTATGCAGCGTGGACCTCTACCTGCTAGTGGCCCGCCGCCCCGAGGCCTTTTGGGAGATGCCCCGAATGACCCTCGCGGAGGGACCCTGCTCTCAGTCACTGGAGAAGTGGAGCCCAGGTGAGGGGAGAGGGAAGGAGAGGAGCCCTTGGCACCGTCCCCTGCCCAAGGGTAGCCTCTCGCTGAGGACAGGGATGGCACCAGCCTTCCGGGAGTCGCTGCTGCCTGGTCGGAGGCCTGCGTGCTGCCAGCCGTGGGGGCCGGCCCGTTTCCCCGGGGAAGGGATCTCCCCGGGGCGATGGCAGCTGCCCCGTGGCATGGGCCCACCAGCACCCATCCCTGTGCCAGCCTCACCCTCCTCCCCTGCGGCCGGCTTCGGGGGCAATCCCAGCGCTCTGCCCAGACCGTGCCAAGCCAGTGTCTGATTCACACTCTCTCGCTTTTTCTCCTCCTCCTGCTTTGCTCTCCTCGTCTCTCTGCGTCAGAGGTTACCTTGGGCCGCCCCACCAGGGAGCCCCTATGCACCATATGCCTGGTCATGACAGCCGTGGCCCCCCCCATGAGATGAGGGGGGGACCCATGGGAGAACCCCGACCACTGATGGGAGAGCCGCGGGGGCCCTTGATGGATGCTCGAGGTGAGAGAGGGGGCATGAAATTCGGGTGGCTTGGATTGTGCAGGCAGGAAGTCAGAGCGGAGCCGGCTGCCCCGACCCGAGGCGTAGGAAGGGGGTTTGGGCAGTGAAATGACTGACTCCAGGCGAGGAGGGACAGTCCCAGGGTGCAAGGGACTTTCTCCAGGCATGTCCCCTCCGCCCCCACCCCGCACTGCTTGGGTGCTTGCTGGCCCCCGACAAAGGAGGCAGCAGGCTCTCTCCCGCACTCCTCGCAGCGCCGCTTCCTCCAGGAGCTGACCTTGTGTTTCCTCCGCAGTCGGAAGAGACCCGCGGGGGCTGGAGCCGCGCGTGCTGGAGGCGCGGGCGCTGGAGGCGCGGGGCCTGGAGCCACGAGTGCTGGAGCCGCGCGTGCTGGAGGCCAGGGCCATGGAGGCCAGGGTGCTGGAGCCGCGGGGCCTGGAGCCCCGAGGGCCCGGGCCCACCCCGCGGGGCCCGATGCCCGGTGGGATGCAGGGTCCTGGGCCGCTGAACATGGGAGCCAGCGGCCCGCAGGGGCCCCGCCAGGTACGCACGGCTCTGCTGGGCCGCCAGGGCGCCCGCGGCGTCCTGCGGGCTGGGCTGGGCGGGGTGTGGGCAGCGCCAGGCTTTGGGCACTGGGGGTCAGGGCACCTGTCCCATTTGCCCAGGCGCTGCCCATCAGCTGGGACAGGACAAGGCTCGGGCCTCTCTCCACCTCTTCCTGAGACACAGAGAGGAGCGCGGGAGTTGGGAGGGGAGAGCACGTAAAATGCACTCTCTCTTTGTGCTCAGGCGTCTTCAAGCAGTCTGAGGGCATTCATCTGATCATCTCGTTTACCTTCCTGAATTTGTAGGGCTGAGTCCAGAAACCCCCAGTCCCTAACCTCTCTCTTACTCCCCCAGGTTCCTAACATGGCTGGGGCAGGCATGCAGGGAGGAGGCATACCTGGGGCAGGAGTCCAAGGAGCTGGTCAGCCTGGAGGCTTTAGCCCTGGACAGAGCCAGGTCACCCCCCAGGATCACGAGAAGGTGAGAGAACAAAAGGGAAAGGGTGAGACAGTAGGAGCAGCACTTCCTGTGTGCCTTTCTGTGGCGGGGTCAGCCCCTCCCTGGCTCTGGTATGCTGTCGCTGCTCTGGGCGTGTCTCTGACCCCTCTTTCCCCACAGGCAGCGCTGATCATGCAGGTCCTGCAGCTGACAGCAGACCAGATCGCCATGCTGCCCCCAGAACAGCGGCAGAGCATCCTCATTCTGAAGGAGCAAATCCAGAAATCCACAGGGGCACCCTGACAGGTGATGTCCTTAGCCTGGTCTCACCCTGTGCCTGTTCCCCTCCAGTAAAACAGAGCTGCCTAGGTTGGGACTCTGCCCTGCTTCCCTCTGTGCCTGCCTCACCCTCCTCTCCTTCTTTCTGGCAGGCACAAGATGGAGATGCCATGTGCCTGGATAGAGGTGATGCTCCATGGCAGCTGCTTCCCATTGCTACCTGAGCTGATGGTGCATTTTAGGAGAGGTTATGTCACCCTCAAGAGGTTTTTTCCTCCAGTTCATCCTTTTTTTTTTTTTTTTTTTTGTGTGTGGATATTTTATGGTGTTTGAAATAAAGTGGGAGGAGGGTTTGAGTAAATCCATGTCCCTGGCTGCCTTGTTTGGTCTCTGATGGAGGCCAGAGTGGGAGTGTTGGGTTGTGCGAGCAGTCCAAACCACTTGCCATCCTCCCTCCTCCCCTCACCAGGGCACGAATTAATAATGGAATTTCTTGTAGTGTGCTGTTTACAGGGGTCTAGGGGAAGGGCAGGACAGAGAGCTTGGCTTTCTGTCCGTGCTGGCAGGGCAGGAAGGGCTCTGGATCCAATTGCAGTATCACTTTCCACGCCAGCCTGCTCAGGGAGCGGGGTTTCCCTCTCTGCACACGCTGGAGCAGAACCTGCTGGGAGCTGCAGTGGGAGCTGAGCTGGGTGCTGGGTGCAGGCAGGCTCTGGGGTGCCAGGGTGGCAGCGAGCCCATGCAGAGGGGGGTCTGATCCTGCACCCCAGAGGGTTTGCTATCCACCAGCTCTTCTATTGCAGCCCTGCAAGGGGCAGGGCGTGGGCTCCCTGTACCTGCACAGCTGAGGCACCACAGAGGCTTTCATTACAAAGAAAAGGAAGTTTCATTTATTCTTATACAAAGGAGTGTTTAAACCCTGAGGGGCACGTTTGGCCCCTGACACCTGCAGGGTTGCCCATGTCCCATCCCCATCCAGTGGTTCTGCCCAACCTGCTGGGCTCCCACGGCTTCCTGCTGCTCCAGCAGCATCACAGAATGTGGCTCTGCTTTGCAGTGAGGGGCTGGGTGGAGCCACAGGCCCACTGCTCCATGAGGACCCCTGAACACCAGGACAGGCAGTCTTTGAACCTGGAATTTCTCATGGAGATGGAGTACCTTGCTGTGTCCAGCTTGGCTTCAGTGCATGCACAGGTGCTTCTCCCTGGCCTTGCTTTGGAAAGGCTTGAGGCAGTACAGTCAGGGTCCCTGCCCACTTAAAAGTTTTCCTTGTTGAAGTAGAATTTGACCTTCCTGGGGTCCAGGCTGGAGTGTTGGTGACAAGACTTCTGCAGGCTCTTTGCCAGGGCCTGTGGCCCACAGAGGAACACACCGACCACTGACCTGCACACAGCACGGGCATGTCAGTGCCAGGGGGGCAACTCAGGGAAAAGGGATTGAAAAGCTTTGTGAGCTCCCTGCCCGGGATAGCACCCCTCCCCAAAGCCAGCCCAGTGCTGAGTGCCAGGGTAGGGGGCATGCCTCTAACATCCCAAATCCCCTGCTCAGCTCTCACCTGGGGTGGGCTGCAGCCACTGCTGCAAACTCCGTGTTCCACATGGGCCGCCCGAAGATGGTTTTGTGCCTGAGGCCCGTCACTGTGTCCGTAGCGGTGTCAAAGTGCAGTGCCACGTTGTTGGCCTGGGCAGGAGGGATGGTGAGAAGCCAGGCACCACCCATGAGCCCCCCTCCCGCCCCTCAGCACAGAGGAGCATCCATTGCCGATCCCACCAAACACTGTGCCTGGGCTTGGTACCTGAAAGCTGTGGTCATGCTAGCCCTGCCCTTGCTGCCCACCCCGTGTGCCCCTCTCGCAGCCGTGCCAGCCCGTGCTTGACTCACAATGCTGCTGTCCCAGCCAGTGAGGAAGAGGCGGTAGGTGAGGAAGTCAGCCTTGCCCGACTCAGCCATCTTCTGCTCCAGGGAGGCAAGCAGGTCGTTGAACCAGGCAAAGGCTCCCGTGTCCCGGCACAGCCAGTAGAAATAGATCTGGGGTGCAGGGGGAGAGGGATTGCTCAGGGCGGAGCAGAGCCAGAGGAAGCAACCCACAGCTGGTGCCATCCATGGGACACTCTGTACCTTCTTGGTCTTGAGGGTCTGGTCACCCTGCTGGAACTTGTACCAGATGGACTTGAGGATGGAGGCGAAGGGGGTGACACCGATGCCCGCTCCAACCAGCATGGCCACCTCGTACTGGAACACGTCCTCACTGGCTGTGCCAAAGGGACCATCCACCTCGACCCTGGCCAGAGCAGGGCCTGGGTGAGAGCTGCAGCCTCCCCAGACCCCTGGCATGACTGTTGGGTGCTCCCCAGCCTACCTGGGCGTTTCCAGCTGGAAGGTGTTGATGAGACGCTCCGTCCAGTCGCCGGCTGCCCGGATGTGGATGGAGAAGAAGTCCTCCTCAGGCGCAGAGGTGAGGGTGAAGGGGTGCCACTCCAGCGCAGAGATGGCGGGGCAGTTGACAAAGATGTACTGCCCCACCTCCATGCAGAAGCCCTTCTTCTGCATCTGCAGCTCCAGCACGCGGGCAGGGTGCATGACCACCTGGGCACGGGCAGGGCTCAGTGCCCAGCCTGGCACCTGTCCCGAGGAAGGGGCTGTGCCTGTGGCCCTGCCCGCCTCCCCATGGCCGCTCCAAGGGGAGGAGCTGGCAGAGGAGCAGCTCCTGCACCACCCACCTTTTTGACAACCACCTTCTGCTGCGCACGCCAGACCCGCAGGAGCTGCTCAAAGACATAGAGGATGATGGGGGCCAGAACCCACTTCCAGGACTGTGAGGATGGAGGAGAGCAAAGGATGGGAATCCCAAGAGCATGGGAAGAGCTTCTCCCCCAGGGCCGCCCCACCACTGCCCTACCTCGGCAGGGATGCTCCCGAACTCGGGGTCTTTGCAGCAGCTGTGGGTGCAGTTGTGCTCCCGCTGTGTGAGGTACTCGGCGCAGTCGTAGGGGGGCACCTCTGCCGTGCTCTGCTCCGTCTGCCCACGCACCAGCCCGCTGCAGGAGGTGAGGGGTGAGCCCAGGGGCCAGCTCTGCCCCCAGCCAGGGCTGAGCCCAGGGGCCAGCTGGGCTAGCCCGCCCTGGGAACGGCAGGTCACAGCCCCGCTGCACTGTCACAGCTGCCCCCGGGGGTGTGTGTGCCCTGCCCCTCGCTGCCCTGCCCTGGCAGAGCTGAGGAGCCTTACGCGATGCCGTGGATGACGAGGCCGGCGAAGTAGACGAGGAACAGGTGGTGTGTGTACCAGAAGAGCTCAAAGTAGTTCCTGCGGATGAACTCGGTGGAGGACGTGATCATGAGGATGAGTGCCAGCGTGATGATCACCCCCGTGAGCCCCGGGATGGTGGTGAAAGCCACGTACTCGACGGTCTGCAGGGGCGGCAGGGAGGGAGGGTCAGGGGAGCAGGGGACAGGGGTGCTGGGTGCTGCATGCCAAGGCCACACTCACCGTGTGGTTGGAGTGGATGGGGTTCAGCCACTCGCTGCCCTGCAGGTGCATCTTGGACAGCACGGCGGGGAGGCTGCCCTCGGTGGCTTGCTGGCTCTGGTTGTAGCGCTCCAGGTTGAAGAGGTGGGCGATGGTGTGCACAGCTGGACAGGGCACAGGCAGTCACCACCAGGCATTCCCAGTCCCCGCTGCTGCCCCATCCCACTCCAGGGCGTACCTGTGAGCAGGGCCAGCGCGTAGGCCACCAGCTTGTGGAAGGTGAGGTTGTGGTCCAGCTGCTTCCGCAAGGTCCGCCTGCAGCACTGCAGGGAGAGGCAGCAGGATGGTCAGGATGGGACAGGGATGTCAGGATGGGACAGGAATGTCAGGATGGGAGAGGGATGTCAGGATGGGACAGAGATGTCAGGATGGGACAGGGATGTCAGGATGGGACAGGCATGTCAGGATGGGATAGGAATGTCAGGATGGGACAGGAATGGGGACAGCCACGCTGGCTGTGCCACCATGGGACACTCACCGAGCAGGTCCCACGGAGGAAGGAGAGCAGGTTGCGGCAGACGGGCAGCAGGATCAGCATGCTGTTGAAGTTGAGGCACTTGGCTGATGCTCGAGCCCACGCCAAGGCGGACTGGGGAGGAGAGAGGGGTGAGCACCACTGTCCTGTGGTGCTGTGCCAGGACTGTGCTCAGCTCAGTCAGTGCTGAGCTAGGCTGGGAACTGGGACGGAGAGGGGCTGGGCTGCCATCGGGACTGGGAGGGGTGAGCTAGGACAGGACTGGGAGGAGGAGATGCCAGGCTGGGCTGGGATGCTGCTGGGCTGAGAGCAGACAGGGATCAGGGCAGGGACCAGCATGGTGCAATGGCAGGCTGTGGAGTGGGATGGAATGACGGTGGGCTGGAAGGGAACAGAACATGAAAGGGGCCTGGGATGTCGCAGCCCCCACCCCAGTGCAGCAGGGCCCCAGGGCTCCTCTGCCTGGGCAGGCAGGGTGCTGTGGGGAGCACCTTACCCCCAGGATGGCCCTGGTGTAGAAATACCGCTCGTCCCGGTCAAAGAACAGAAAGTAGTAGGTGAAGAGGAAGATGTTGATGCCCAGCCAGGCTGCCTGCGGGGGAAAGGCACAGCCTCGTGAGGAACCCTGTCCCGGGAGCCTCCCACTGCAGCACTCGGGGCCGGGTGCAGCCAGAGGGTGTCGGGACAGACAGCAGACAGTATCCATCCTGTTTCCTTGTGAGCTGCCCTGTCACGCACAGCGCTGGGACACAGGGGCAAAGGTGGGGAGAGGTGTGGAAGCCTCGCAGAATTGCTGTCTTGTCACACACTGCCCTGTGCATCACCGAGCATGAGGAAGGAGGAAAGGCAGAGCAGCCAACAGCCGTGTAACGGGAGGGAAGGCAGATCCAGAGGGTGGCCGGGACTGTGTGGGGAAGATTCTGGGAGAAGAAGTTTCACAGGGAGCTGGCTCACCTGGCCCACAGTGCTGCTGTCCCCTGCCTAACCCCACTGCATCCCACACTGCCGCCTCTCACAGCCACTGAATTTTTGCAGAGGTCCCAAAAAAAACCACCCAAAAAATTACACCCTGCCGTGTATTTGTTTTTTGGCTGTTTTCTTTTTCTTTTTTAAGTAACTCAAAACATTAAAATAGCCCAACTGTCAGTAAACCCCATGTTCCCATGCCTTCACAGCTCCTCACACAGCTCTGAGCAGCTGAGGGGGGCTGGCCAGGCAAGCTCTGTTACAGCAGAGATGCTGCAGCACGGCAGATGGTCCCTATGGTGCCAGCTCCTCACCCTGCCACGAGCTCTCACAGGATCCTCCTCCTCTCACAAGCGGAGCAGACGCACGTGGCAGGCCCCCAGCCAAAGTGGCCAGGCAAAGCAGCAGCGTTTTTAAGTTTTCCAGGACCCCCTTTCCCGTGAGCTGTGTTTCCCCAAGACTCCAGGTTTCCAGAGCCCATCCCTCCCCCGGCTGCCGGGGTGTGTGGGTCGGGGAGCACAGGGGATGCTCGTCTCTGCCCCCAGCCCGGCCCAGGGCAGCTCCTCAGCCCCCACCTCCCCCATGAACCCGCAGGGTCCCCCCGCACGCCCCTCGGAGCCCCCAGCCCCAGACTCACGAGGACAGCAGCTGAGAACCAGTGGTTGACCAGCCAGTTGCCCATGGCGCGCTGTGCCCGCGCTGTGCCCGCGCTGTGCCCGCGCTGTGCCCGCGCTGTGCCCGCGCTGTGCCCGCGCTGTGCCCGCGCTGTGCCCGCCCGGTTTTATGGAGCAGCGGGCGGTGAGACAGCCCGGCCCGGGATCGGCACCCGGGACTTTCCCCTGAGAGCGCTTGGAGGAAATGCCGCTGCTTTCAAAGGCTCCTTCCAGGAAGGCAGGGCTGACCCAAGCGGCCGACAGCAGAACCAGCCCCTTGTGCTGGCCGGGGGTGGTCCCCCCCGAGATCCCCCCATGCCCCACGGCTGGGTCACACGGGGTGTCTGCCTGCTCCTCCCGGGCTTTTGCAACCTCTGAGGATAAGAACAGGCTTTTTTTGTAAGGCAGGAATTTCCTGGGAACAACTTGTGGAGGATCCATCCTGTTCTGGCTCAACAGCTCTGTTTTCCCTGGCCTCCCTCCCCAGCCTGCACTGCCCATCTTCCAGGGAAACCACCAAAGGAAGAGAAGCCTCCTGGGGTCACAGCGCTGCCCTGTGCCAGGATCCAGCTGGGCATCCATTACAAGTGGGTGATGTAAGACCGAGCACCAGTGGGGCTGCACCTCCATGGGCCCCCAGGGCTGATGAGCATCCTCAGTCCAGCACCCAAACTGAGCTGACCCCAAAATGGGTGCTGGGGTGGGGGGTGTCACACTGCGGGTTTGGGGCCAGGGCTCCTGGGTCCCATCAGCACCCACTGCCACTGCTGTGCCAGCCACCCTTCCCCTGCTGCCTGCCCTCCGCTGCAGGGCCCTGAGCCCTGGGGTGTCCAGCGCTCCAGCTGGGAACAGCAGCCCGTGCTGGGCCCCTGAGCCTGGAGGAACAGGTCAGACAGGCTCGCTCCTTGCTGGCACGCTGCTCTCCGCTGGCCTGCAGCCACGGCCATGCTGACAGAGCACAGGACGAGGCCAGCCCCATCCCGCCGTGCTCCTGAACCTCCACAGAGGGGCTCCCCCATGCCCACTTCCTGCTGGCACAGCCCCATTCCGGTGCCTGTAAAGGAGTTTTACGTGGACAGCAGGTGTGTGCAGCCGTGCCAGCCCCTGGGACCGTCCCCACCCTCCGTGTGAGTCACTGCCAGCACCCAGACTCGCAGTCACAGCAAAGTTTCTTTACTGCTTACAACAGTCCCAGCGGCACCCGTGGCCCAGGTCACCGTATGCACCATAGCAGCACTGGGGGTGTCGGGGCACCCCAGGGGCTCTGCACCATGTGGCAGCCAGCTGGCAGGGGCACCTGCTTGGGGCACCCCATAAGCTGTAGAATTGTGGAATTGTAGAACAGTTTGGGTTGGAAGAGACCTCTAAAGGCCATCTAGTTACACTCCAGAGGTGGGCAGGGACATCTTCAACTAGGCCAGGCTGCTCAGAGCCCACCCAACCTGGCCTTGAATGTTTTCAGGGACGGCACATCCACCATCTCTCTGGGCAACATGTGCCAGTCCCTCACCACTCATTGCCAAAAACTTCCTTATGTCCAATCCAAATCAGCCCTCCTTCATGTTCATGAGTGGTCCTGAGCGGGCAAGCACACTCGTGTCCCCCTGCCCCTGAGGGATGCACTGGGACCTGCTGCCACCACCACAGCAGCCCCAGGCAGCACTCAGCCTGTGCCACGGGCATCCTCCGTGCTGCCCACGCCCATGCCATGTCCGAGGCTGGCTGGAGGAGCCGGGAGCTCACACGATGCTGTGCCTCACGCCAGGCTCTGAAGGTGCCTCGAGGAACAGCGGGGTCCCCGCGGGGCGCCGGCGGCAGCACACGCAGTGCAGGAAATCGGCCACGTTGTGCCTGAAGAGCTGGCGGCAGGGGTGCAGGTACTGGAAGAAGAGCAGCATGAAGTAGATGCCCAGGCAGTAGCCCAGGAGCAGCTGCAGCACCAGCAGCGCCGTGCAGACGTTCTCGTAGACGTCAGTCTTGTAGAAGTACCAGAGGATGACCAGGGCCGTGTTCTCGGCCAGCCGGGCCACGTAGTACACGGCCAGGCGGCCCCAGTTCTGCGACTTGTCGATGAGGTCCCGGTCGGCCAGCTTGAGCTGCACGGCCGACCAGCAGAACATGTTGATGCTGGAGTAGAGCAGCGTGAAGGCGCACAGCACCACCACCGTGCCCAGGCGGCTGAAGTTCTTCTCGATGTTGTCGGGCAGGCGGCCGCCGCTGCGCCAGAACTGCACCCAGGGCAAGAAGAAGACCACCAGGAGGTTGGCCAGGGCGATGGGGATGATCCAGTGCTTGAAGACGGTGCTGAAGAGCACGAGGACGGCGATGCGCGTGGAGATCTCCAGGCTGCGCCACAGCACGATGCACAGGAAGGCCAGCGGGCGCAGCTGCACCTTGTAGTCGTCGTACTTGACCTGGATGGCCAGGATGTTGCAGACCAGGGCCCCGTAGGTGACCGACACCAGGCAGATGGCCATGAGCACGGCTGCGGAGGGACAGAGCAGGCACTGAGGCAGTGCGGGGACCAGGCTGTGCCCGGCCTCTCCACTGCCCGGGTGCAGAGTGTGGGAAACCGGGGGTGCCAGTCCTGGTGAGAAGTACAGGGTGCCCAACACCTGGGCTCACAGCAGTGAGCACTGCCAGAACAGCTCAGGGATGGGGCTGACAGCCCCCATGATGAGGTGGCTGCTGGCAGCAGGAGGCTCAGAACCCAAAGGTTCTCCCTGCACCAACAAAACACAAACCTTGGCCAAGCCAGAGCCATTTCTGTGCTTGGAGCGTGCCCCAGCGCCCTGCCCTGTGCAGGAACTGCTGCTCAAGGGTGAGAAGGGCACAGTCAGTGCTGCAGGGCCCCTCTGCCTGCACCCCAGCCAAGAGCTGCAGCACTGTAGCCCCAGAGGCACCCCAAGAGCCAGCCCCATCCCAGGGCTGCAGAGCCAAGGTCATTTGTAGGGAATGCCTGCAGCTGCTCGCATTCAGCACTGCCAGGAGTACCATGGAGAGAAACAGAAGAGTGCAGCTGGTCCCATCCAGGGTGGCTGCCAGCTGCACGGCTGAGCTGGCACTCCAGCTGCGAGGGAATCACCCAGAACACATCACTTGGTATTTACCTCCTGCAGCTACTGCTAGAGCAGCACTGGCACTCATTCCTCCTGTGCATCTGCAACTCCCCAAAATGCCTCTGCAGAGGGCTGTGGTGAATCAGGGGGTTTCTATGGGGCATCTCCTGTGCTTCCCTTTTCAAGCACCTGCTGTGGGCACAAGTGACAAGGTCTGGGCTCCCAGCACTGGCTGAGGGCAGCTCTTCAGCCAGCACTGTAACTGGAATGGTGCAGGAGCACACCTGCCTGCCCAGCTCGGTGCCAAAATGGGAGTTGAAAGTTTGCTCTGGCATATCCACCCCCAAGCACATAAACATCCTGGGAGCAGGCGAGGGAGCCTGGGAGTGGGAGTGCTGGGCTGGGAGCTCTGGCTGCAGGAAAATGTGCAGAAATAGATGCAGTGGGGGGACTTGAGGGAAGCCAGAGCCTGCAGCTAGATGGAGAAAAATGAATGGAGACTGGAGCAGGCTAGGACAGGGATCTGACCGTCCTGTGACACATGGCACTGGGTGGATGGCTTGGCTCTGGAGGGCAGATATGAGCACGGGGCTGGGAGCAGAGCCTGGCACCTCTGCCAGGCCTGCTGTCTCCCACTTTGCATCACTGCAAGCAGCAAAGCAGAGAGCTGATGAGTGCCCAACATTTGTGGGTCGTGCTCCACATTTCGGGGAGCCCAGTGGAAGCTGTGCCCAGGAGGGACTTTTTGGATGGCCCGGATGTCCCATCAACACGAACAGCCAAGGAGCTGCCCTTGGTGGGGAGCGCAGGTGCCCCTTACCTCGGGCGGCAGGGACGTACTTCTCGAGCACGCTGATGTAGAGCTGCAGCGTGAGCTGTGGCGTGGAGCCCAGGAAGGCCTGGATGACGGCCATGCGCTTGAAGGCGTTGCGGTGCGTGGCCAGGCGCCGCTCCGAGTGCCCCACCTCCTGCTCCAGCTCCAGCTCGTAGCCCTGCCGCAGGCGCCGCTTGCGGGTGATGGTCACGTAGGGCTCCTCCTCCCTGCCCGACCAGCAGTACACCACCAGGGCCTCCACGCACCTGTGGGACACGGCAATTGTCACCCCAGCCCTCCTGCTGTCCCAATCCAGCACCTCCGGCCCCACCCTGCTGGTGCTGCCCAGACCCCAGTCCTGAGTGCTGCCCGACTGCTCTGGGCACCTGCCCGAAGTGCTTGGGCACGCCAGGACCGTGGGCATGGCCGTTGCTGCTCCTCTGCTCCAGCACTCAGGGTGGCCATGGGTACCAGGGGGCAACAACTGCTCCAGAGAGCTGCTGGAAGAGGTGCAGCATCCCGGGTACAAAGCAGCGACCCTGCTGGGAGCTGCAGCTACAGGAAGGTGTTAATCACCCTTGGGTTCTGTTTTCCCAACCGGCAGAAACCTCTTCCTCTAAGCAGAGGCAACAGAAACTCTGAAGTATCAGAGCAGAGTATCAGAGATCTCTTTGATCTCTCGTTTTGAGCAGAAGAAGGCTTCCACACTTCCTGCCTGCTGGGGACAGCAGGAAGGAGGGCGTAGGGTGAAGCCGTGTGTGGCGTGGGCAGATAAGGGAGAGTTTCCTCAGCCCCTTCCCTGCAGGCCCCACTGTGGCAGGGCTGGGGCTCTCTGCCCTGCCTGCAGGGACAGGGACCTCAGCCCCTGCACAGAGCCCTGGAGGGTGTGCATGGCCACAGGGGAGCAGCTGGGCTCTGCCTGGCCACCAGCTGGCTCTGGGACCAGCAAGACACCATTGTGTATGGTGCTTATCAGGACAGCACAAATTGCTGTGGATCAAACCCAAAAGGAG